AACCAAAACCAAGGTAAAAACAAAAAGAAAACCAAAAAATTGAAAATTGCCTCAACCCAAAATTTTCCCCCTCCGGAACCCTGAAAAAACCAAAATTGCAAAAAAATCAAAGTTTCAAGTTAATAATTTGGTTTAATTCCTCCGAACAAAAAAAAAACAAAACCAAAAACCGGGTTGGAAGAACCAAAAGAAACCCCCAAAAACAAAAGGCCCAACCAAAACCAAAAACCCGGAACCCCAAGCAAAAACAAAACCCAATTAATAAGCCGAAGAAAAAAAAAAGTAATCCCAATCCCCCAAGGGGAAAATAAAATGGAAGGCCGCCGGGCCCAAAAAAAAAAAAACAATAACCCTGAACAAAATGAATAAGAACAACAAGGGCAACCCAAAAAAACCGTCAACCAAACAAAACAAAAAGGCAACAAAATTCCAACCAAAACCCGAACCCAAAAGCAAAATTAAACCCGTAACGGCCAACTGGGGAAGAACCCGTTTTCCCCCAAGCAAGGTCAAGGGCAAGGAAAAGGGCCGGTGGGCCAACAATTGGAAGAAAAACAAAAAATAAAACCCGGGAAATTAATTTCAACGCCCTGGAAAAGGAATAATTAAGTCCCTTTGGTTTGGAAACCGTTCCAAAACAAAAAAAAGCAACCCAACAACCAAACCCTGGTCAAAAAATCCGGTTCCCAATCAAAAAACAAAAAAGAAAAAGAAAAAAAAAAAACAACGGAAACCAACGCAAACCCCCCCCAAAACAAAAAAAAAACCTGGCCAATAAAAGGGTCAAAGCCCTAAAAAAAGGGAACCAACCGGCAATCCCCCAAAAAAACCAACCCGGTAAACCAAAATAAAAGCCAAAAACGCCCTCAACCCTAATTTCAATTCCTTAAGAAACCCCAAAAGAAAAACAACTCAAGAACCAAAGCCAAAAAACCGCCCCTAAAAAAAGAAAACAAAAAACAAAAAACCAAGCCCCCAAGGAAAAAAAAAGCCTGGCCAACAAGAAAAAAAAGGCAAAACCGGCCCGGCCTGCCAAGAAAAAAAAGGCAAGGGCCCAAGCAAAACAACAAACCAAGAACCAAAAGGGAAAAACCAAGGCCAACAACCAACCTCCAAGGGCAACAAACCCCCCGGGGCCTGGAACCGTTTTCCGGTTCAACAAACCCAAACAAACCTTGAAAAAAAGGGCAACAAAAACAAATAAAACAAAAGCCGGCAAAAGGAAAACCCAAAAAAAAAAAAAACAAGCCCAAACAATTAAAAGTTGGGAACAAAAAAAAAAAGGCAACAAAAAAAATAAAAAAAGGGGTGGGGAAAAAAAAAAAAAAAAAAAACTGGTGGCAAGAAGTGCCCCCTTGAAGCCGAAGCCAAAGGAAAAAAACAAAAAAAGAAGCCTCCCCTCCTGGCCCCAACCCTTCCCCAAAAAGAAGTGGTTGAAAAATTCAAAAGGTGGGAAAACAAAGCCCCAAAAGAAGGAACAAAAAACCAAATAAAAAAAGCCAAGCAAAAAGGCCAAAAAAATAAAACCAAAAAAAGGAAAAAGGAAGGGCAAAAAGGCAAAAAAAAAATTTAACCCCGGAAAAAAAAAAAAAAAAAAGCCAACCAAAACGGGGGGGCAAGGGCCAAAACAAGAAAAAAGGGTGGGAAAAAAAAAAAATCAACCAACCCCCAAGAACCAACCCCGCAACAAGGAACAACCAACAACGGTTTGCCCCGGCCCTGGCAACCTTCCGGGCAACAACCCCCGGGCCCGGCCAAAAAAAAAAAAGGCCGAAGGGTTTTTTTGGTTGGTTGGTTTTCCCCCCGCCAAAAAAGGCCGGAAGGGTGCCAAACTCCCCCAAAAAAAAAAAAAGGCCGCAAAATGAAAAGGGTTGAATGGTCCAAGGAAAAAACGAACCCCAACAAACAAAAAAAATCAACGGGGCCTAACAAGGGCCCCCGAACCCCCGCAAGAACAAAAACCCCGAAAACGCCCAAGGCAAAAGGGAAAGGAAAGCAAGCAAAGGCAAAAAAAAAAAGGGGTTAAAAACAACGAATCCTAACCCCAAAAAAAAAACCAACAAAGCAATAAACAATAAAGCAAAACCCAAAAACCAAAAACCCGCAACTTTAACAAAATTTAAAAGGAAAAGGTCCAAAAAAAAGAAAAAAACGTTGGCCGTTAATCAACAATGCCAAAAAAAAAACGGGGAATTTGGAACAACGGCAAAAACTAAAGGGGCCTCAAAAAAGGCAAGTGAAAAAAACGGTAAAAAACCGCCTGAAAAGGCCAAAACCAAGAACCAAATTGAAACCCTAAACCCAACCGGTGGGAAAAAATGAAAAAAAACAAAGAAAAAAAAACCAAATTGAAGGGCCGAATTTGAAAAAATAATAAAAAAAGGGTGAAAAAAAAAAGAAAAAAAAATAATAACGGTAATGGTAATTAAAGAAAAAAAGAAAAAAAAAAAGAAAAAACCCTCCAAAAAAAATTTAAGCCAAAGCAATTGGTTCCTTCAAAAAAAAAAAAAATGGCAAAATTTAAAAATTGGAAGCCCGGCCTTAACCAAGGAACAAAACAAAGGAAAGGTTTAAAAGTGAAAAGGCCTCAATTGGGGGGCCTTTCCAAACAAAAAATGAAAAAAAGGAATAAAACCGGAAAAAATGCCGAAAAAAACTAAAAGCCAAAAGCCCCCCTCCTGCCAACCAAGAAAAAATGGTTGAAAACCCCCCCGGCCGGCCGAAATAAAACCTTTGGGTTTGGGGAAAATAAAAAAAATGAAGGGGTAACAATTAACCCTTAAGGCCTTAAAAGTTCAACAAACAACCCAAAAAAAGAACCCTTTTCCGAACCCGGAAGGTTGGGAAGCAAAAAAAAACCAAACCCCTTTTTAAAAATCCTGAAAAAACCAAAGGAACTAACAAAATAAGTTCAAAAGGGGGCCGGAAAAAAAAACCAAAACCCCGCAAAAAGAAAAAAGGGCCCCCCCCAAAATGCCTGGAACCAAAAAAAAAAAAGGGAAGCCTAAACCAAAAAAAAAGCCCCTGCCGAACCAAGGGTAAAAAAAGCCAACAAAAAAAAATTCAAAACAAGAAGGAAAACGCAAAAGGTTCCGAAGAATTGGTAAGCCTAAAGGCCAATCCCGGGAAAAAAAAAAAAACCCAAAAAAACCGGGTCCTTGGGAAAAAAACTAACAAAAAAAACCCGAAACAAAAAATTTTAAAAACCGGGGGTTGCCTAAGGAACCCGAAGAAAAGGAAAAAAAGAACCTAAGGGCCCCCGGGAACTGCCAAACCCCCCCTAAATAAGGCAATTTAAAAACAAAAACAATTAACAAACAAAACCAACCAACCCCCCCCCTGCAAAAAAAAGGGTTAAAAGGAAAAGGGGAACCCGGGTAAAAAAGTTAATGCAAGTTCCAACAAAATTGGGAAGGGAAAAAAAAGGAAAAAACAAAAGGAATAAATAAAAAAAACAAACCAAGCAAGCAACCCAAAATAATAAAAAAAAAGGGAAAAGGGTAAACGTGGAAATTAAAATTTGAAGAAACAACAACCCGGCAACAATTCCAAGCCTTCCTAAAACCAAAGAAACAAAAAAAATTAAACCCTTCAACAAAAAAAAGCAAAAATCCAATTAATTAATGGTCCAAAAGGGGCAAAAATTTTGCCGCCGCCAATGGTAAATTTTTTTTTTAACCCTACCATTGTTTGTTTTCTAACCCTAACGTAACAAGGATACTCATGTCCATGTAAATATACTCACTGAAAGTTTTATCTGCCTTAACCACAGCCAGCATCAGTCTTGAGCAGCTACTGTATCAAAGAGTGCTTTGTAGAAAATATAGGACTGCAACAATTTATTGCTCTTTCCAACCTTCCTCACGACATTTAACCATCAAGCACTTCCATGGTACTGACTTGAGGCCTGACTTTAAGGACACGGACAGACACACACACACACTCGCACATGGTCACAGTCATTGCAAGAGGCTTGCATTTCATACGTAGGAGCGAAACAAATGTCAGCTCTACTGCAAGTCTACAAGCACACACATTTTACATATCATGTGCAGGCTAGAATATGAACAGAGTTCAATGGGTTAACTGATAACAATGAAATTACACTATGACATGAGCTTCCATATCTCCAACATGCCAAAAGATAAACACCACATGTTTGGTATAAAATTGAGAAATAACTGCAACAAAATTTTTGTCAGCTTAAAGAAAACCTGGGGCAAGAGGCTGTTTGTCATAGTGATTTCCCCTGCTGGATCAGGCTATGTGATAGGTTATCCATCACCTCCAACTCAGCAAGGAGAAAATCTCCAAAACATGCAAACACACACACGTACCCTCACTTAGACTCCAACTCTCCACTCAGTGCACAGAGTCAAAAAAAAGCTTGTCTCTGTCTATCTCAGTGTCTGATTTAACTGACAAACACACTCAGTCAAGCAGTGAGTGAGCTTCTTCCAGTTCAGACTAGAGACAAGCGACAGTCTGCAGCCAGACAAGGTAAGGCTGATCTGTGCATAAAGTCTGCTACATCGAGACCTCATTTAGTGCCTAGACCCAAGGGCTAATGAGGGGCCTCAGGGGCCCCAACTAGCAGTCACTGTTGGGAGATAGGACAGGATAGGAAGGAAGGGCAGCATCTCAAAACCATACAACAAATTCTCGTTACTCAAGGTTGCCAAGCTGCAACAATATACTCCTGAGTGCAGTATACAACCACCTTCTTACAGAAATAAACTACAATTAAAACAAAACAAAACAAAAAAAGAAACAAAAAAAATGATAAAACAGGGATAGTTTTGGTTGTACATCCATCACTTTTATCATATTCAGAAACTATAATTTAGGCCCCCTGGTAGTCACTTATAACCGCAGTCCAAACTGACAATGCCCCTCCCCAAAGGGAGGGCATATAGCATTAACAAGCAACCAGCATCAGCATCCATGACAACATTAAGGAAAGCCATCCGACGACCTGAGGAGTAAAGCATCAGTCTTACCTTCAACAGCATACTCTTCAGCTTCAAATCCCAAAGGGAATGCATGTAAAAGAAAGAGAAAAGACAGGAAAAGTTGATTTAGATGGTATATTTTCTTCAAGTAAATGACATTTTATTGCTTCTTCAAACTAAATCTATACAAGAAAAGACAGCCAATGAAGCTTGAGAACTTGGAGACGTGACAGCAGAAAGGTTGCTTCCCTGAATATGTCTTTAATCTGCTGACTTTCTCAGAAGCCTGCAGATAGTTTAATAATCCCACAAACACACTTATTATGCTCTTAAAAAATGTCCGATGGGGGTGTGAAGAACCCTCAACTAGTAGACTGTAACCACACTATTTTCCATAGTGAACAGGAGGCTTGAGTCAAAAAGGACCCCCAACTGAGAGACAGTGACTTTCACACACTTTTCCCAGTCTTAATGACACGGCAAGAGGGAGTCAAAGAGATCAGACTCCAGCAGGATGCTTTACTTACAAAAGCCACCCTTTAGCAGCAGACGCCAATCTGTAATGCAAGAAAATAAAGCTGCAGCTGCCTGCCACTCCAGAAACCCCATGCTGGAAGATGAGGAGTAAAGAATGTAAAACAGCCTCTGGCTTGGCATGGCATCCCTGTGGAGATCTAGGCATTTTGATCTGTTGTTGCGGATGCTCGGCCTGGGTCTTCATGTGACACTTCTGTATTTAGTTGTAGCAGTCGATAATATTTTAATATGACTTCACACTGCCCTGGTTCACTGTGTTTGTCGGGCACATTATTTCAGTCAGAGAGGCAGAAGAAGCACAGAACAGTGGAAGAAACAGCATGCAGTGCATCCTCACAGGAATTTGTGTTACCAGAGCATACAATGTATGGAAAACTACGAGGTCAAGCTAAGAAAAACAAATGCTTTATTTTTTTATACATGGTCCACTTGATGGAAATCCCACATAGTTAAAACTGCTTTTAGCATTAAGATTTGATGGAAACAGAAGCCATTTAAAAATCTGAAATGCACCATTGAGGCCCCAACCGTAGCTGAAAAGTAAGCAAGTCAACCAGATTTCCCACAACACATCAGCACAGTTCCTGAAAAGGGATTTCCCTGAATGGCCTCCTCACCCATGCATGAACTAAAGATTATGTCAGCTTTTGAATTCTGCACTATAATTGGCCTGTAAAAGCATCTTCAGAGGTTCTTGATCTTAAACAATGATAGTGCCGGTAATTGGAACTACAGGGCAAACAAACAGTGACTCCTGGAGATATAACATGGATTTTGCTCCTCTGTTTTGCCCCTTCACATGGGGTGAGGGGTTCAACTACTCAGTATTAACCTTCGAGGAGAAGCAAGACATCGGAACTTCTTTAGTTGAAGGGTGGTTTCACTATGCATTCCTGCTGCCTAAGCTGACCTGAAATTAGTTCAGTGGGTCAAGGCAATTGTCACAAGCCTTTTACCAAAAAAAAACCATCAAACTATTAGGATTTAAACTCTCAGATATTTGAAGATGCATTCAAACGACATAAAGGACACTAGTACACTGACTGAAAGCCCTTCATGAATGACAGAGCATCTGCCAAGTTGCGGCAAGGGGACAGTGTTCGTATGATGTAGGGTAGCAGTTGTTTATACAATCACTGGCCATGACTCTGCCTTTCTGCTCTCTCATCTCTGATCATAGCCCATCATCCTTTCTTTCATTGTGCACCCACATATGTTCCCCTCTCTCTTTTCTGAGCTGAAGCAAAGGATGTTTGATGTACAGTAGAGGTTGTTTATATCATCACCGGCCATGACTCTGCCTCTCCCCTCTACTCATCTCTCAACGCCGTCCCTCATCCCACTTTTCCTTGTTGTCGCTGTTTCTCTCTGTCAAAACTCAGTTCATATCATTACACGGCAGGAAGCTGCTTTTGTTGACATACGGATTATTTCCTTCATTCTGAAGCAGCAGAAAGAATCATCTGTATAGTTTCAGTGTTAGCTCATTTCAATGAGACCATGAGGAATAGTCCTCTCCAGTGTTTTGTTATGAAGTAAAATCAAAGGACCATTGACCGATCACATTATGCTCAAATTAAAAGATTTTTTTAAAGGAGAAAATTTGTCAATATTTCCAATTGTGTGGTCAAACAAGAGTAACACTTGAAATGCAAATCACATTTCAATAAGGAAAACCACTCGTGTTGAAATGTTCTCTATATCGTTCAGTCACATTTCTCATACAACATCTAGGTAGACATTCCTCTGGAGAATATTAAGAACGATCCCCTATGATGCCATGCTGCAGGAATACACACCAACCAGCCACTACATTAAAATCACTGACAGATCAAGTGTTTAACTTTGAATATTTCTTGGCAATGCAATGTTCTACTGGAAATCCTTGGGTCCTGGAATTCATGTGGCTGTAACTTTGACCAATACCACTCATCTAAACATTGAAGCAGACAAAGCACAACCCCTCACAGCAACAGCACTTCCAGATGACTTTGACCTCCTCCAGCAAGGCAATATGTCACGCGTCACCCTGCCAGACCACAAAAACTACCCAGGAACCGCACGAGGAACACAATAAAGAGCCCAAGGATTCGACCAAGCCTCCAAACTCCCAACATCCAAAACCGATCAAACATCAGAGGAATGCACTGAAACAGGACAAATCCATAAGACCCCACCTCGCAGCCCACAGGACCGAGGAGCCACAGGAAATAGTGAAGACCATTAATCGTCATTTATATCTATATTATTTTAAGGTTCCTACTTGACAGCTATTTATTTTGAGACATCGTTGCTTCACAGCGAATGGTTGCAAAATCTAGCCTTAAGGAAGAAATACGCTCTCAGTCAGACACTTCTGGGATATACCCCATCCTTCTGAGCTTGTCTTTTTTATCCCATTTATAGTTTCCTGTAGTCTTTACCACCCATTACCTTTATCCAAGAGCTGTTTTCCATTAGGGTGTATCCCATATTGCCTCGGGCTTTCAGCTCCACTGGGATCCTAATCTTTTCAATGTACTTTGTGATTCGCAGGGGAACGTAGAGAATGATTTTCAGAGCAGAATGCACAGAATCTGTTCTGGGCATGTGTGCATATTTTGTCCATGTGCAAAAATGGGGGCCCATTGCTAAGGATTTGAATCCTGTCTAACATAAAAAGAGGAATGCAAATTCTTTATTATAACCTTTTAAACCCAATTCAAGACCAAGAGAAATAACAAATGTGGAAATGCAGAAATAAACTTGTGGTAAATTGGACAGTCAGTCAAATGTGACATTTCTTCCCTATATCTCTAAATTAGTGTGCCGTACCTCCAGCAACAAAAGCATGAAAAAAGTCTAAATTAATCAAAAACACAGCTGTACAATACAAAAGAGAGCAGAAATCAGACGTGGGCTGCAATAAAAATAAATAAATACCAATGTAAAACTCAGATGGAAGCAGTGGAGAAGCTGAATGTCTTCACCAATGAATCCCTGAAGGGTTTTGGAGGCAAATGAGAGACTTTGCAGACCTAATCCTCACCCAGCTAACTAAAGGATTTACCAAGGGGAGAAAAGCATGCCTGCATTGAAAAACAACCTCCTCTCTATCACTATCCCCCCATTTCTTTGCACATGAAGGAGGCTACATAATTAACTGTTGGTTGAATACAAAGATGAATGGGCATAGAGTAATACCGCAAGATGCTGTATTAATTCATAAAAGTCACATTAATCTAAAACAACTTCATTGCTGTAAGTTCACCAGCATAATTGGAAAAATATTACACTTCAACTCAGTGTTAAACAGCATTTAGAAGTACATTTCAAAAGATATTATGATCATTAAAGTATACTTTACAAAGACCTGTTTGATGATAAATTACTTCGTAAAGTCGTTCCTGCAGCAGATCTGCAGTTAATAAAAAAATGTTAAAAAGTGGCATCGGAAATCAAACCGTGTGCATCATGACGGAAAAAAACAACAACAAAAAAGCAACCTATTGTGATTGTTGACTTGTTCTTAAAAATAATTATCTATAATTTCCAGAATAATATTCTCATTAGAGATAAAGGGCTGAAGCTCAGCAGCAAGTCATCACAGAGGGAGTTCAAGCTTAACATCAGAGGCAACGAGAAAGTGACTGTAAATCTTTCCAACACTTGCGCACAGCTGGAGAAGTGCATTCCAATCATGCAGACGTCAAGTCGCAACGTGGTAGTACGAGTTGTTTCACGCAGTATTTACAGTAAAATATGCATTTTTTTAGTTTTTTGTACTTTTTTTTAATGAGATCAATTAACAACTTATTCTTTTATTCTCTTTTAATGTTCATAATGAAACTAAACACATGTGTGCTTGAAAACTTGAACCAAACTATATTTGTTGTAATAATGAATGAATAATTGAATAATTTCCAGCAAAATAATGTTTTTTGTTTTGTTTTAAGGGAGGGCAAGGTTAATGTTAAAGCTGCCATACATTTTAAACACATTTTCATTATACTGATACCTGCTGAATAACCAATATATATACAATGAAGAGGACACCACAACTATATGCCCATAGAGGGGATGTTAAGCATTCTTGCCGAAAAAACAAAAGCAAAAACCTCTTAGTATAGTGCTTTGTGGTTACAAAAAAGTCTTAGTGTTGTGAGCAATGCTGGCTTTCCTGCTTCATCTGATGCATCTTGTCCTGATTTTGACGCAGCAAACCACAGTGTAGGGGAAAGTGTCATATATAATTCTAAATATATGTTGTTTGTTGTGGAGTCAGCGTTTTCTTCCAGTGTTCGAATGGAAACCATTATTTTACATTGTCCCTGTTTTATGAGTAAGTGTGGCTGTAGTGGCTAGTGGGGTGTCACTCTGGGAACGGAGAACTTCAAAGACAACATTTAAAAAAAAACTCTTTGCATCCAAAGCTATTTGACTTCAGAGTGGCAAAGAGGAAAAGAAATGACAGCATTAGGGAATAAAGGAAACAGAGTATGTAGAGAAGACAAGAGGATGGGGAAAAACATGTGTGCACACATACATTGCCG